AAAAAACCTTGTAAAGTGGTTGACATATAAAGCTTAACTACCACAGATATCTACATAAATATCTTTATTTTATGCTTAAAAATAAATTAGGAAAATCAGAGGTAGTTCAGCAGAAACTGATTAAATAATCAAATATATTTCTACTTCTCAGTGAGCTGTGTCACTGTTTTCTACTCTACCATTGATCCGACCAGTTTGCGCACTAATGCACGAGCAGTTTTTTTGTTGTTTTGTATATATTTACTCGCGCAGTAATTACTCTGTTTGCACGAGACAAACATTTGATGCGCGCGGCCTGTCCAGAGGAGGGGGCGCGCACCGCGGATGACGTCAGCGGCGTGTCGTGCAGGCGGACAATGCGCTGAAGTGCAGCAGCAGCTGTGTGTACACACGTACAGTAGATCAGGGCCTGTCGGGCTGCCAGCTGCTCCGGGACACGGCGGCAGGGATGTGAAGCTCCGTTTCTACATGGTACCGACACGCAGAGGTACGTGAGCAACAACCGGTGTTTTTATTTTTCATTATTTTATTTTGAAATCCGCTTATTGTGATATTTATTCACAGAACGAGAGAAGCGCTGCTGGGAGCTTCTCCGCCGCACAGAGCAGCGAGCCAGCCGCTGTTTATTCTAGCGTCGTTTCTAATCGTTAATTCGGGGGTAAATAATATCACGTATTGTTTTCCTTTGTTAATAATGAGGTGCTGTGGGGGGCAGCTTATCGCAGCATCCCGTCAAAACGAGTCGTGACGTGGGAGCTGCGTGTAAGATGTGCTGATTATTCATTCATTTCATCACGCAAAAAAAAAAAACAGGTGGTGCTCAACGTTTTACACAGAAGCTCAAATCCACTGGAGTTAATGATTGAATGGAGCTGGGTGGGATGCTAGAAACACAAATAAGATCCCTGTCACACCTTATTGATGTGGAATAAAGGTCATCACACTTACATAAGCTCCGCTCACACTCAAGGCTTTTATGCTGCTGAGTCCGGATCAATTATCATGGATCCAGCATCTTTTAAAAGCAGAGAAATGCCTTCAGTGGTGGTGTTAACTCGTTGTCCCAGTTAAGGCCTCCGAGCAAGCTGAAGCAAAAGTAAGGAAGGGAAGTTTTATCTGATGTAATAATGAACACAACCAGCATTTATCCTGAAAATAGATAAAGTTATCAGTACATTTTTGAAATCTGCAAACATCTGGTGAAGTGGTCCAGGGATGCCAGGTTGAAAACTTGATATTCCCAGTGACAGGAAGTAACTCTACTTCTATATATCAGCTTCAGGAGCTCAGTGGAGAAAAGTAACTGTCACACTGTTTTGAAGTACAGTTTTGAGGTACTAGTACTTTACTCAGGTATTTCTATTCTACAGTACAATACAGAGGCTACCGGAGATTTCCAAACTTTTTGTGTAGTTTTGAGTGTTTCACATTTTAGATGTTTAAGAGTTCGCCTCTGAAAGTCTCACATGGTTTCTTTTTGTTTTGTTTTTTTAAACCAAAAATGAGAGAAAAACAGATTTGTGGTTAGGACTGCTTTTCTACTTCACTCCCATGATTTATCTGCTGTTTCTGTGTCTAAAACTGGACATAAACTAGTTTAAATGAGCTCCACCTGCAGCAGTTTCAACATGCTGCTGATGCTTCACTGATAACAATAAAATCATGTCATATACAATCAGATATCACTCAGAACAAGGACTGGTTCAACTATTTTCTTTAAATGTTTTTTAAAATTATTTTTAATTTTTTACTTTTTCTTGTTTCACTTTATTTATATTCAGAAACACACACACAAAAAAAACTTGTGAAACCAGTCTTGTCAGCTTCCAGTGTGGGGCTGTCAGTATTATTGTTATTCTTCGGACACATATGGCTGCATTAGTCCAATATTACAACTTGCCATTGTGTCGCGTCGTGTTGCAGCAGCTGCAGGTGAGCCGCTGCGCTCTAAATGAACAAACAGGTGCTGTTCAATGATCAGGGTTCACGACCGCACTCAATCTTTTCAACATGATTCGTGTCTCGATGTTGCTTTTCAGCACCAATCGATCGGACAGCAGCTACCAATGACGATTCATTCATTAATTGTCATTTAGTCTCTGCCCTGTTTTGGGAAAGAAATCAATGAAAACAAACAAGAGTTCACATAATGTTGCCCAAACACCAAATGCCAGTTTTAATAATTAGCCTACAGTTTAGTTTGAATTGTGCTTTATCGGTAAATGAGCTGAATTCTGAAGGAGGCGAACCGTTAGATTAGCAGAGCAACACGACGGAAATTGTGCCCAAAATAGAAATGCTATGAAGAATTCAGAGGAATTCAGGTCCTTCTCTTAAGTACCAATACAACAATGTAAAAATACTCCATTACAAGTAAAACTCCTGCATGAATATCCCTCTGAAGTAAAAGTACAGAAGCATTAAGTAGCTGAAGTAATAAAAGTGTTGGTTTGGTCAGTGACTGATATATTATTACAGATGACATGGTTAAATTATTAACAGTGAAGCATCAGTGAGTCAGCAGCGTGTTGTAGCTGCTGCAGGTTTATATCCGGTTTAACGTACAGGGACAGCTAAGTCCTGGGTCAATACTGGGCCATCAGCCATGTGAGCTGGAGTGACTGTAAACATGTGAAACTCCCCATCGGTCTGAGGTGGAACGTCTTCAAGAACATAAAAAATGAGTCCAGTTGCTTTCTACTGAAGCTCCTAGGATTTACTAAAATACTTTACTGGAGTATTTCCATTTTGTGCTACTTTATACATCCACTCGACTACATCTCAGAGGCTAGTTTTGTACTTTTTACTCCACTTAATATATTTCTACAATTGCACAATTGCATTTATCCAAAGCAACGTACATCTGAGAGCAGATACAAGACAAGCAAGGAGCTCGTCAGGAGAAAACAATCTAGAAAAGCGCCATAGAACAAATTCAAGCGAGATAAGGCATTGATGCCCACAGCAGGCTGTGTGGGAGGTAATAGGATTGTTTGTTTGTTTGTTTGTTTTCGGGCTGTCAGGTGTGAAGGTTTGATAACTTTAGTTACTGGATAGTTTGCATATTCAGATCAATAGTTTAAAATATAATCAAGAAATAAACTAGGATTTATTATTTTGAGATTAAGATCAAACTTTACTGATCGTCAGACAAACTACTCAGCAGTAAATAAAGTCATTACAAGTGATGAACATATTATAATGTAGTAACATCATTTATTAACTGAGCAGTTCAGCAAAATGTGAACTTTTACCTCTGATACTTTAAATATACTTTAATACTTTTGTGCTTCTGCTTCTGTAAAAAAAAAAAAAACAGACTGTGGCTTATTTGCAACAGAGCACTTCTACACTGTCTTATTGTTACTTGAAGTACAAGATCTGAGTACTTTATCCCCACAAACAGATTTGATTGTATACTTTAAGTTGAAATAAAAACACTGATTTCCTAAAGTACATAATGTGCAACACATATTTGCACACAAAGAATGTACTCCTACTCTTAGATTTAGAGGCAATGCACTTTTAATTGCGGAAAATTTAGGAAAACATCTCTACATATTTAAAACTACATCTATTATTCAGTATGAATCTATGTTTCTGTGCTTTCTCTGCAGGTGATCTTGAAAAATGGAGGGAGGAAATTTGTGAGTATATCTCTGTTATTTCACATTGATGCAGCAGTGCGAGGATTTTAGACCAGATTTCACAACATCGTTCCAACCCTGGTGTCACTGCAGCGGCTACTCCCGAGACTATCTCGACCGCTTCATCCAAAGCCAAGACTCGTCTGTGGTGAACAAGTTCCAGCAGAAGTACTGGAAAACCAAGCAGACGCTCATCAAGGTCACCGGGAAGAAAGAGGATGAGCATGTGGTGGCGTCGGACGCGGATCTGGACGCCAAGCTGGAGGTGAAGCTGTTGAGCTGTTTTTCAGCAGTGGGAGCCGTGTTGCATCCCGAACACCTCTGTCACGTCACGGAAACGCTGGAGGCGCTTTCCCTCGAGCCGACGCTGCGCAGACTAAAATGGCTTTTTGATTCACACAATGCCAATATTTGCTCGAGGCTTAGAAGTTGCATTAGGCGGGCCGTCCGAGCCCTGTTATCTACGCCTCCATCTCAGGAGAGAGGAAAGTTTAATGGATGGAATCGATGCTTGATAAACATCCAACATTAATGTAGGCCACGTCCCCAGCAAGCATTACAGTAAACTATTTATAAGTGGGATTTAAAGCTTTAGTACGGCACATTTTTATAAAGTTTCCAGCATTATATTGCATCCACGGTGCAGATATTACCTTTGAAATCAACAAGATATCAGTCATTCCACTAGTTTGTGTTGATTTTTCTTTTTTGTCGCTCTGCAGGTCTTCCACTCCATCCAGAGGACCTGCATGGAGCTGCTGAAGGTCATCGAGCAGTACCAGAGGAGGATCTGCTGTACGTTCAAACAAACAGCTTTAAGTATTTCATGGAAATAGAAACTTTAGATTAAGTTTTAGAGTATGAAATGTGAACCAAAGGTTGGAAGATGTTCGTATTTTAGTTATCAGATCTCATGAACATAAGCTATAGTTAAGATATTAATTAGGCAACCTTTTTTTTTACCATTTAACTTTGAAACTTTGGGAAAAGTTTGGAGACCAGTGATAGTTTGTAACTGATGATATTAAGGACTGCATAAACAATTTTAAACGTTTCACCAAAAGTGCACTTCATGTTGGCAGTTTAACGATGGCAGCAGGTGGGTCGGGGCAGCCCAGACGTTGCTCACCACAGGTACATCCCAGCCGAGATGGGACAGTTGATCCCTCCGGCATTGTGTGGGACTCCTCTCTGTTAAGACATGTCCCCAATAAACCCACCGGGAGGCATCTGGGAAGCAGTGTGGTCAGATTCAGCGCCAAAGAGCAGCAGTCGTGAGCCCCTTTTCTCTCAGACAGCTTGTAAAGGAAGTCATTTCAACTCCTATAGTCCCAGTTTGTCCTTAGATCACAGTTACTGGGTCCGTCTGGAATCACCTGATCCAGTGACTATCAGTTATTATCTCTAAATCAAATCACATTATCAGACTAAGAAGCTGAATCTGAGTCTGCATCCTGAGATGTTCTTGTACCGGCTGCACCCAGTGCTCCGGTCGCGCCCTCTCCTGAGGCTCATGAAAGGCTGCACAGCACAAAGAGACGACCATCTGTCGGTTTATCTGTCGGTGGCACACAGTCACGTAGAGGTGGTTCTCCGGCTTTAAAGGGAAAGTTTCAACCCTGGAAGTTACATCAGTGCGGCACTTATCGCTTTGTGAAAGTCCAACCACTTACCAGGATTTTCGGTTTGTGTGACTCAGCATTATGTAGTTGGTGCTGCTCCACCTTCAGTGTGAGCTCTTTGCCTTACCTGGGGGGTGACACTCAACATCCCAGCTGGGAGATTCTGCCGGGAGATACCGTCTTTAACAACACGGCTCTCAGGGGTCATGCAACGCTGATATTCTCTGAGGAGACACCAGAAATACAACACAGAGCTCTGTGGAAATGACTGAGGTACCAGGAATAGAGCGAGGACAAACATAATGTCATGAATATTTGTTTTTAATTGATGGATTAACTTCATACAAAGTGCAGTAGATGGAAGAAAAAAATCTATAATAAATCAATATTTCCTTTAACATCTGGAGAACTGCCCCAGAACCTACCACGATGGATTTAATCTGTTCATTCATCTCATCTTTACCGACTCCACGGAGGTCAGACTATCAGGACTCTTTACTCTTTTTGTGGCTCAACATATTTCTTTATAACTGTCTGTTTGGGCTCATTTCTCTGCTTTGGAGTGAATTTAAGACCAATAATCAGATCAGTGTAGGACAAGAACCTAAATGGAATCTAAATGGAACCAAAAAGGAACGAGAAAGCTTCGTTTTATCTCAATGAAATGACCGATCAGGATGAGAAGCTCTAGTTCTTACCATGTGTGCTGTGCAGTTCTTTCCCAGGAGGAGAACGAGCTCGGTCGCTTCCTGCGCTCTCAGGGCTCGCAGGACAAAACCAGGGCTGGAAAGATCATGCAAGCCACGGGGAAGGCGCTCTGCTTCTCCTCCCAGCAGCGGTAGGCAGCGACGCACATCGACGTACAGCACGACAGACGATTCACAGGAAGGCTACAGCTGCATTAGAACATGTGTAAAGGATCAGTCAGTTGCATCACCTCCTTAAAAGACAACAAGGAAGAGTCCAAATGTAGTCCCAAAGAAATGTTCATTAGCTGTAATCACACATGATGCACTCATGACATACTTGACATTAAAAACGAGGACTTATGTAATAGCTGAAGCTGTGTCACAGTTAACTCCAAAAACTGAAATAATGACCAACGTTATCACGACTATAATATTCTTATACATATTGCTGAAACCATTAATATCCTGGCTGCCGGTGTTTCTCAGAGTTAAGAGCACATTATCACTGCTTATCCTTTATTTCTGCGCTGAGCAAGATAAAAATGTTTATTGAATCGATTCTCTCGGGGGCCTCTGATTGATTTTACTATTTGGTTTGGAAAAACACTTCCATGCTTTTGCTCATTTGGGGCTTGAAGAGCCGAGACACCTTTTAGTTCTCTAAAGCAATTTCCTCTGAGCATTCAGTTCTCTGGATGAATCTAATCTGCGATGTGAGGCCCAGGAGGGACTGGAATGTGAATATCAATATGACAATGTGCTGATGTCTAAAACGGATGTAATGCTGGTCGTTTGTCACAACGCAGCACTTTAACGCTGACTTTAACACTGCCTCCTGTAGATTGGCTCTGAGGAACCCTCTGTGCCGTTTGTACCAGGAGGTCGAGACATTTCGCTACCGGGCCATCTCCGACACCTGGCTGACGGTGAACAGGATGGAGCAATCCAGGACCGAGTACCGAGGAGCGCTGCTTTGGATGAAGGACGTATCTCAGGAGCTCGATCCAGACACGCATAAGCAGATGGAGAAATTCCGCAAGGTTGGTCTTTCACAGGGCCGCTAGGTGGATCGGTGGTTAGCACCGTCGCCTCGCAGCTAGAAGGTCGCCGGTTGGCGCTGGTTTGAGGACACCCGGGATCTTTCTGCGTGGAGTCTCCATGTTCTCCCCGTGCAGCGTGGGTTCTCTCCGGGTTCTCCGGCTTCCTCCCACAGTCCACAAACATGCTGAGGTTAATTGGTGATTGTAAATTGTCCGTAGGTGTGAATGTGAGTGTGCTTGGTTGTCTGTCTCTAAGTGTAGCCCTGTGATAGACTGGTTACCTGTCCAGGTGAACCTGCCTTCACCCTGAGTCAGCTGGGATAGACTCCACAACCCTAGTGAGGATTAAGGTGTACAGATAATGGATGGATGGTCTTCCATACGGTGCATCAGTCACTCATCATGAATCTATAGATCCTCTCATAGCACACATCAGGTGTCATAACGGCTGCGTTCCATTTAGTTTGACCTGTCAGGGCTCTGCTAGGCTTTACAGTTCACTAGGACACTTGAGCTGAGCTGCACACAGTACAACAAGTCATCATGTCTATATGCCAGCCATAATAGGTCACAATTCATATACAGCCATGTAACACAACAGCCTTCAAATTAATTGCTCTTTTGTTAAATTAATGGCCCAGCCTGCAATCCACTGTGGACATGATGGAGAGCTTTTCCTGCCAGGAAGAACATGAAAACAATAATATCAGAGGCAGTGTGTGGGAAAATATTACAGCTGCAACATTTGCAATTTCCTCATTTGCTGTAGGGCAGCAGCAAGTCTTATCGTTAATTAATCGGTCAGTTCTTTCTTTCGACTTAATGTTTAGTCTGAAAAAAAAGTCAGAAAACAGTGTGAAATGTTCACCATCAGCTCTCTGAGTCCCCACGTGGCATCTTCATGTATATTATCTGTCTGTATATCGTTAACTAATGGTAGCGTGTTGATCATTTCAGCCCTGGATGGTGATTGTGATCGATGCCATCCAGAATGAGGAGAGATTCTGAGATGGACTCACACTTTTCAGTGCAAAAGAAATGTGTGATTAAACAGGGCTGAACATTTTTAATAGAATTTTGTCACAGTTTTATTAATAAATGTGTAATAATTCAAAATATGTGTGCATTTGGGGCTCCATAGATAATCAACCCTGCAAGTGAAGCTTATTGTTCTGTATATTTGAAGGAGTTCATTTGCAAAAACAGAAAACTCCACCGTCACAAACCTTCAGAAAACCCACTTTTCCATCATCTACCTGAGACAACATCAATCAAACTTAAGTTATCTCTATTTTAGTCATTTCTGCTGAGTCAAATCCACTCAGCTTCAGTTTGATTGATATCATCTCCAGCAAACAACAACAAAATAAGTTTTCTGAAAATCGACAATAATGGAGTTATCGGTTTTTGCAAATAAACTCTTCATTTGTTCAGAAAACGTGAACACAAACAGAACTTCTGCTCCCAACTCATCGCAATATTAAAACATTTCCTTAAACACTTACTGAACTCCACATAACTTCTGTCCTCCGACATCATCTAAGACAGGGGTGTCGACATCCGGTCCTCGAGGGCCGCAGTCCTGCATGTTTTAGATGCTTCCTTCTTCCAACACACCTGATTCAAATGATCAGGATCGTTATCCGACTTCTGCAGAGCTTGATGATGAGCTGATCATTTGAATCAGGTGTGTTGGAAGAGGGAAACATCTAAAACATGCAGGATTGCAGCCCTCGAGGACCGCAGTTCGACACCCCTGATCTAAGAGGTGAGAGGCTTTTTAAAAAATATTTGGGTTTAAAAAACAGACCAGGTACAGAAACCTGCCACTAGAGGGCAGAACACACCCACAAATGGCGGTCCAACTATCACGCTGAAAGAACTCAACGCTACGCTTTACACTTGCACTAACTTGAAGCGTGCTATTTGCGGCTCCGTTTGCGACATCCCATTCCTGTCTGCTCCGCCTCAGGTCCAGGCCCAGGTGCGCACAACCAAAACAAGCTTTGACAAACTGAAGAATGACGTCTGCCAGAAAGTCGACCTGCTGGGAGCCAGTCGCTGCAACCTCCTCTCTCACGTCTTAACCACGTACCAGGTACACCAGGCCAATCCCATCTGTCTGCTCACACTCCACTGCTCTTAAATATGGTGTTTTCAATGGCTTCTGCCAGGAAGGAAGACAAACATGAAGGGAACAAAGGAAAACCAAACCTCGCATGGAGGTTTATCAAGAGACACTGCAACACATGTAAAATAACTTAGATTAGTGGATGAGCTGAACACGTGACCTTTACAGTTGTTGTGTGTTTCAGACGACACTTTTGCACTTCTGGGAGAAGACGTCCCACACCATGGCAGCCATTCACGAGAGCTTCAAGGGCAGTCAGCATTACGAGTTCTCCACAATTAAGGTCAGAGAGCGCCTCGACCTCTGTGGATCAAAAATTCGGAGACACAGTTAATAAGCAATGGTTTGACTCTTGTTCCAGACCTTACAAGACCCCGCGGACAAGCTGGCTAAAAAGAAGGGGAAGAAGAAAACCAAAGCAGAGTCAGAAGATGGAAAGAAGGCTGAAACCACAGACGACCAGTGAGTTAAAAAAAAAATCTGCTTATCTCATCTTTATCTTGCACGTAGACCAAACACATGCATGCCACAGCGAAGACCGACTGTGATTATATGAACCAGTCCAGTATTTCTACACACCTGTTGCCTCACAAATGGACAAAATGTTATAAACTTATCTCCTGTTTGTCTCATTTATAGGCTCATCTCCCTTGTAAATGAAAACACCAGCGATAAGACCAGAGAAGGTAAAAGACAACTTCATTAAATCTGTTTTTAGACATCGTTTTAGTGCAGAAAGGGCTGCACGGTGGCTCAGTGGTTAGCACCGTCGCCTCGCAGCTAGAAGGTCGCTGGTTGGCGTCCCGGTGAGGACACCCGGGATCTTCCTGCGTGGAGTCTCCATGTTCTCCCCGTGCAGCGTGGGTTCTCTCCGGGTTCTCCAGCTTCCTCCCACAGTCCAGAAACATGCTGAGGTTAATTGGTGATTGTAAATTGTCCGTAGGTGTGAATGTGAGTGTGCTTGGTTGTCTGTCTCTAAGTGTAGCCCTGTGATAGACTGGTTACCTGTCCAGGTGAACCTGCCTTCACCCTGAGTCAGCTGGGATAGACTCCACAACCCTAGTGAGGATTAAGGTGTAGAGATGATGGATGGATTTTTTTTGCAGAAATGTATTTCTATTTAGTTTTTCTATGTTTTATAGTCTTGTTATTAGAGTCGGAATAAGAAGACAAGCAAACTTTTCAGAAACTGTAACCAGGGTATTTTTTGGGGGGCATTTTTGCTCAGAAAATGACTAATTGATGAACAAAAAGCTGCTGATTAATCATCTGATAACTGACCAGCAATGCAGAATAATGTGTGAGGAGCTTCTGGGCAAATAGAATCGACTAAATCACAGGGAGCTTAGTTATATAACTGCAGACTTACTGCATAATTACGCTTTTGCCCGATCAGATCTTCTCTCTGCTGATGCGGAGTTGGAGGGAGAGGAGAAGGACAGCATGGCTTTGCTCAACGAGATCCTCGGCGGTTTGTCCGTGGACGACGGCGACTTCTCTCGGGAGTGGACGGAAGTGTTCGGAGAGACCGAGGAGGGAACGAGCGCAGCGTCCGGTAGACCAGCAGAGAGCCAGCAAAAGGAAAACTCCTTCTTTCTACCATCGCAGCTGCTGGACCAGAGCTTGAATAATCTGCAGTCTTCCGTCTCAGGTCAGAAAATACTCGTCTCTATGTGTGTGTGTGTGTGTGTGTGTGTGTGTGTGTGTGTGTGTGTGTGAGCCAGACAGAAAATGGGTAAACGAGTCCAAAAAGCTCTTCAGTGGCCAAAAAAATAGACTTTTCCACCAAGATAAAATCATGCAAAGCCTCAACAAATTACCCACCTTAATACCAATTTAATTAAGCACTGAGGCGAAATAAATATGCCCAAAGGCTAAATAATAACTTACGTTGTTTTTCCATGAATGAAATACAAAAAGCAGAGCTGTTCTTTTTCCACCTTGTTCGAGCTAAATGTTTCCACACGGGGAGGAAAGTGGCTTTATAATGACTTATCAAGCCCACGTCTGTCAGAGTAATAGAAAGAGGCAATTAGAATATGGCAATTAGATTTGCTTACCCGTAGGTAATTGCAAACTACTTTCCATTTCATCCGAGCCTGGGCATTGGCTGCTGCCACCTCGTCTGCTTTTGCTGATTTGGTTTTTTGTTCTTTATCCATTTTGGAAGGTTGTGGGCATTAGGGCAGATTTTAGGAGGGATGCGAGGGATACATGAAGACACACATGCATTTGTGTCCCTCTGTAAAAAACAAGCAAAGACCTTTCACGTCCTGTGTCTGAATTCTGTGTTTTCTTTTATGACATTTACATCATAAATTGTTGCAGGAAAATGCACCACAATGCAAGGACGTAAACTGTGGCTGTGAGCAGCACTGCGATGAACAAAACTCATGATTTAGGCTTTTGAATGTGAGATTCCTGTTTTCAGAGTCACGTTATAGCACCCTGGCAACATTCCTGCTTGCTATAAAGATAAACAGGAGCCGCGAGGTCAACGAGAAACAAACATTAGTTTAGACGACGGCAAAATGGGTTTTCTAAGAGAGAGTCCAGCTAATCAACGAAGCACACCGCCGCCTCAATCTCCTTCTTTTAAAAAGCTGTCAAAACACGTTATAGTTTTTCTTCTTTTAACAGATATGACGGCTTGAATTTAAAACTGTGGGACCACAAATCAAATACAATATGTCGGCCCTGGGACTGTCAGCGTGATTCAATCAGAACTGTGTGAACGCAAAGAACTCGGTGAAACTATAAAGCGATTACAAAGCGCTGAAGCAGTAATCAGAGTTTGCAGGGACTGACTGAAGGGCAGAATAGCTTCTGACACCATGACAAAACATCCGGCTCAAATCTAGTTTAACACTTGTACCTCTCTGCACTCTTTACTTGTTGCACCCATTAACTCTCTGCTTCACACCTTCAAGAGTCGGTCAAGTTGTTCACGAGGCCGATCGTGTGAAGGCCTTTGGCTGTCGGCAGTCACATCACAACTTACAGGAAGAACTGTGAGACAGCTCAGACTCGACAGACGAAGAAGAAGTCAGACTCAGCGCACGACAGCAAGTTTAAACGTTGATCCCAAAACAGGGCAAGTCCTGAAAGATTCACAGAACCTGGCAAATCAAGAATAAAACAGCCAGAGACAAAGAATGTAAAACAAATCATGGAAGAAAATCCCCCCAAATTCTCCTGAGCGAGACGAAGCCAGATGCATGCAATAAGGCTTGAAGGTGCAGTTAAGCAACTAAACCTCCAACAGATTTACAGCCTTGACATCGGAGCGCGTCCGTCTACAGAAACATTTCATTCAAAGTTTCCACACTGGGACTTGCTGGTGAGCAAAAAAAAAAAACCCCAAAGGAGATGCTGAAACCGACACCCCATCATGCTCTCATGTGCGTACATGTCCAGAGCAATGGAACATTTGTTTGTATTTAGTTTGTTTGTTATCAACAATTCATTCCAAGTGTTGCTCCATGTTCTGTTTTCTGGATACACAAAGCGTAAAAAATTAAATAAACATGCCTGAAACAAGCCATCAGAGGTGCAACGGTCTGATTTTAATAAGCCGACACAGAACATTATCTGCGTTTTTTGCCTCCACATGAATGTTTTGATCAGCTGTTTGCGCGTCCAACAGTCCACATCGGCAGCGTGTGAGAAAGTGCGAAGATTTATTTGTTGGATCACGCTTTTGGCACGTCAACGCTCCCCTGATGATTAATCCAAATCTGCATCTCCACTTCAGATTGGGCCGGGATCATTCCGCAGCCCGTCGCCCCGGCAACAGAGCACTCATCTGGAGCCAATCAGAACCCTTCTAAGCCAGCCGTGAAAGGTAGGACCGGGCCAAATGGGTAAAAAGTTAAATTAAAAACTGTGTACTTATGCGTACTTTATGAGAACTTGTAGCCTGAGCTCGACCAGATTTTGTCTCGGTGACATTTACCCCTTGTGGTTCCACAGAGGCAACGGGGACGTCCAAAGACCTCTCGGCGTGGTTCAACCTCTTCGCTGACCTGGACCCCCTCTCCAATCCAGACGCAGTCGGCAAAACCGACGCCGAGCACGAGCTTCACAACGCGTAGTTTCTCCCGAGCATCACGTGATCTCTTCTAAAGCAGGAACATTTGTGAGGGGCACAGCTGCATATTGCTGCCACCGCGATGGTACAGAAAACCCGATCAGACGCACAACCAGCAGGCCTCGTGCAAAATTACAAGAACTAAACTCACAACTGATGAGCAGGGAGGCAGATTATCTAACAGAGTCCACAATGGGAAAATGGCACACACTTGATTGACTTAATTCCAATTCCTTAATCCTCTGAACCCCCAAAAACGACACCACGTCAGATACAGAAAGAGGAAACAAATCATGCCTGAAGTGCAGTTTTGTCAGGAAAATTAACCAAATCAGATTTAAAACTGCTATTTTATTAGGATCCCGTTATTTTGCATGTCTCATTTAATAATTTGTTGTTTTTTTTTTTTTAAAAGCATTTAATTCTGCGCTCCATTTGTGACTCAGCTGCAGCCGTCAAGTAACAAAAATTCAGGAGACTTTTGAGCTGAGCTGGTAGGAAACAAATGAAAAAAGTGAGCAGGGAAACATCTCTAGTATGTCGAGGCTACAACTGTTCTAAATGTTGATTCAAGGTATTTTCAATGTTTGGAAAAAAGCTGTTGTTTCCATAGAGACATGCATATACAGGACTACATATAGCAGTGAAAAGAATCTCACAAAAAGTGTGGAAAAAAAAACACCACTAAGGAAATTTGGAGTTTAAACCCGACGCTAAATTTAACTCATCATGGCTTTCAAATTCACTACATGTTGTTTTAGATTGCAGGATGTTATTGGCATATTTGGACACAGCAGCTGAGCAGTTAGAAAAACTGTCTCATGGTGTCCTGGATGTTACAGCACCAACATCCATCAATCTGTGACCTTCACGTCTTCCTGACCGACTCTCTGCGTCCGTCACAACGCTGTGCTGCTCTGATGAAACAGCTGTAATCCTAATACATATATAACATGACGACAGACTAATGCGCCGTCTGCAGATGTTCAAAAACAGGAGTTGAAGCTCTGCAGTGTGATTCCAGTAACAGAGCAAACAGCCTTCTTTAGCAATTTAGGGGCCTTAATTATGCGAATGATCGTCTCTCACAAACACGCTCATTAAGAGTTTAAATTCAGCTTCACAGGCTCACCAGCAAATATCACCGAGTGACAAACTTAGGATGAGAACACAGACATGTTGTGAAAGTTAAATTTCATACAGAATATTTTAAGAATAAGAAAAGGATGTTGGTAATACAAGACATTAATGTGGCTAAAGCTCAGATTTGATCTCATGGTGGCAGCATTATGCTTCTGGAAACGTCCCACTAACAACCATCAGCTCTCTTGTGAAAGAAAAGAACCATTTACAGGATGACCTTATGAAGCCTGTCGGCTGTTTCACTGGGTTAAACATTTCATGTTCAGCATGGATACCTCAGTACGAGTTTGGAACAATAAGCCTTTGACGTTCGCTGCCTTGGAAATCTGTAGTCTCTCGTAGCATTCATGCTTTATTTCCCGATTCTCATCACTGCAGATTGCAAACAGGGAAAACTACTTTACAGCGGAGAGAAAGCAAACATGACAAAGATCTCAGCGCGGCCGCTCATGTGTTTACAGATGTGTGCAACAGGTCGACTGGAGGAGTTTTAACGCAGTCACAGAGAATTATTCAGACATAAACGGAAGCATATCTGCCTGCCATCGATCTGTTGAACACAGCACGTCTGGATGGGTGACCTCCATCCATCAGACAGCAGAGAGGTTTCCTTCAACACACAAACAGCTTCATGCTTTCAGATTTGTTTGCTACATGCAATATTTGTGATTCCAATTTAAATATATTCCAGACGTGTGTCGATTTGTCTTTAAAGCACACATCTGTCATCTATTACTGCATGTTGCATGCCTGGTTTTATGTCATCCAGTAATTGTGATTGAATGAACAATATGTTTTACATATATTGGGATTTTATTATTTTTTCAAAGCATTCTTTGATGTTTGCATTTATTTATCAGTTATTGGGAAGTATGTGCAGTTTCAGTGCGTTACTCTACCAGCAGAAGAACGTTTGACAACTATGAAAATACAATCTTTGACTGGTATCGACTCCAATGCTGCAGAAATTGAATATATAGATCAGAGTAAATGCCTTAATCTACTCACACCAAGAATATAGAACCTCAGAACTATCTGATTCCTTGTACAGTATATTACAAATGAGTGTCGATTTATTTTGTTGGAACTTCTCGTGTCCTTTTTGACGTTGAAGCCATGCGGCATTCGTTGATGTCCGGTTAGAACCAAACCCATCGATTGCCTTACCTTGACTCCTCTGTGTACATAAATGCCATGCTTATTATTACTGATCATTAGTCTTTGTGTACGGCCTTTAAAAAAAAAAAAACAGATTACATACCGATCCAAACAGACACACGTTTTGTTTTCTTTATTGAAAAACACACAAGATCTACATAAAAACGTGTAATACACAGGAGAACTGGATCATCATCATCATCGCCAAACACGGCAACCATCTTTTAACTGCGCTGCACAATTAGCTTGTGAACAAAGTCAGAATTAGTACGATTGAAACTCCCGGAGTTGCAAGCAGAACATTTAATTTATGTGGCATGCGCAGCACATGTTGTTCATGTTTGTGTTTGTGTGTGTGTGCAAGTGGTCGATGAGACAAAAGGTCTGGAATGAAGTATTTACTAGTTAAATCCTCATCACAGTTTAACTGGTACACATCAGTCACGCTTTTGTTTTTTGCTTTAATATGTTCTGAATACTGAACTTGTGCGAGTAGTTTTAGGCCACATGTGGTGGAGACTGTACGAGCCGGCCGTGTGACACAATGTTTTAGTGTAGCTTTACTTCAAACAATAATTAATTGCACTCTCTTTTTCTGATTGCTTTAAATTGGTCTAAAATAAAAACAGTGATTATCATTTCACTTCCAAATAAGTGCTTAGGCTTGGTTGTAATGACTGGAGCCTGTGTCTGAAACACAATGAGCCGCTGTTTGTTTACATGTCGCTGAATTGTTCATATACAAACTGAAATACACAAACATTCTTCTTCTGGCACAAAACGGTGTCCCGCGTGTTCCCAATCCATGTCAGGCCTTTCATCGTTTCGCAATTTGCTTTGGTACATATTTAACAAAGAGGGGGTTAAACAAAAGACATAATTGTCAACCTGTAAATGTGGGAGGGTGCAGCTTATGGAGCCAGTCCTGTTGACCGATGCAACAGCCATCTCTGGAATGTGTCGTAGCACCTGAAGCTCTAACCTGAACGCGGTAACTTGTCCGACATCAATCGATTGATTCAGTCTGTCATAACGTCCCTCTGCAGGGCAAGAATTAAACGTTTCTGCAAAAAGACTGGAATGTCGTTTTGTAGAAGAAAGTCATGAACACTGGGGAAAGGCAACAGAGTCCAACAAGTACATTCTACATGACCTGAGTTATTGTTCTGGGTAGTGTGGGGCAAAAAAAAAAACAAAAAACGAGGACAGTGAGGAGCTGTGTGCTTTGTGATTGGTCATTTGGTCACTGAATAAACAGCTGATATTTGCATTTTTGTCTTTAGCTTACCAAGTTGTATTAGTGATCGGACTAGGAATGCAGGTCTAAGGTTTGGCTGTAGGCCTGTTGGGTGGAGGCTGCAATCAAGCAACTGCTGGTTTCACAAAGACATTTGCTACAAATACATTCAAATAAACAAGTGAAGAAAGGCCCGCGGCCTGCTTCCTTCTGAGTCTAATGTGGGGCAAAGTACTCTGACTAGAAGACATCCCAAAACTTTAAACAAAAAACGCAGCGTATGTATTTTAGATGTTAGCTGGCTGAACACTGAACAGCTACGAAGCTGGTTAGATAACATGAGTACGATGTGTCTGATACCTCATAGTCGACTCTCATGAAAGTTTTGGATTTTTCCTTGAATTTCATCCTGATAAAACTGCTGACGCTAAGTAACACAATAATTTAAGCAGTCGTTTCTATTTTTTCGTAAATAAAGCAAAGCTATTTCTGTTATGGGTGTCGTTGCGGTACAGAGAAGAAGGCTAGGTTAGTGATGGGTGAAGAGAGGCTGTGCCCAAGGTCAGCAACAACGCCCAAACCATCAAGTATTCTGATTAAAACATCACCTACAGCGGGGCTAACACTAGGATCAGCTCCTGCAGCAGGACGCTGGTACCATTATCCTCCGAGGCGTTTGTCATTTCCAGACCTTGGGCACTCCCTGCTGGCTAACGTTAGGATTATCGGAGTGCAAGGACTTTTTTTTTTTCTTTTTTTCTCTTTTAAACCATACCACCTAACTAGTTGCAATATTTAGCCTGTAGGCGGTCTGGTCATGAATACCTGAGGACTAGCTGGTGAGGAGAACTTGTGCCGAGTCATCTTTCCCCACATCTGTGTCGGGGCTCTGGCTGTCTGTGCTGTTGTCTGAGTTTACGCTGCTGCTGCTGCTGCTGCTCGAGTCGCTGTTCCGGTCTGTGGAGGTCGCGAAGGTAGCTAGCGGCGCCGTGGCCAGAGTCGGGGTCACCTGAGGTCCCGGGCTGCTGTTGCCATGGAGACCGGGGTTGATGGAGGAGCAGGAGGAGGGAGACACGGGGGAGAACAAAGAGGAGCAGAGGAGTTTGACGGGGCAGAAGGCGGAGCCCCTGGGAATGAAGTTCACCTTGTTTTTGTCGGGGCACGAGAAGAGAGGGAAGCCTTTTGATTTGCCGGACCTGAAGACGACACAAGTCAGGATTTTGGATTGTTAAGTTTCTATTTAAAAGACCGTCGAGCCATTCTGCCCTCATCCCTGCAACCCACAGTGCAAATAAGCTTGTGCTATGCCAAAACAGGAGTCCGTGAAGCAGCGTAATAAACTATCTGCTGCTCTCCCTTTAATGATTATCACACTCTGTGCAGCAGTAAGTGTCAAATACAAAGGTGCATTCAAGAACATAAACACATCGTAAAAATACTCACACCAACTCCTCGAACACTTTGACCCTCTCGCAGCCCTCCGGAGGTTCCCGTTTGAACATATAGCTGTTGTTAGGTTTGGGAGAAGTGGCGAACTTGGGGAGAGGAGAGCTGCACACGCTGTCTGCAAATCAAGAATAAAAAGGTTCACCACAAATGCTTTTGGTATTGATCCTAACAAATGGCTTTATATAACACAAAGCAACACATTTTTCTACCAAAAAAGCATCCACAGCCATACTGTAATGTTAGCAGTTTAAGACAAAAAAAAAAATCCAATCTATGCTGCCAAACCCATCTTTTTTATAGTGTTCTTCTGCGGCAAAACAATACATCTTGACAGTTTGGTCCTTGTGCTATTAGCAGCCAATCCATCCACTAGAAGTCTGGTAAGCCCACTTCACTTCTTTCTAACTCCAGACTTTTTAACTTGTAGTCTTCAGCCCCAAGGATCACCGACACCAACTTATCAGATGTCAAACATCACTCTGCAGCCTGCAGTGCTCCCCAAAACCAGTAAACACAGTAAAGTAAAATCAGCATTTTCTTGAAACCCTCTGAAACCCAAAAGCCTGCCGGTGGGTTTGAAGTGTGTGTTGACTTAAAAAAAAAAGAAAAAAGAACAGAAAAAAAACAGCAGAATAAATTCACAACTTTATTCTACATGTCTAATTTTAAAACTTGCCAAAAATTAAACAAAAAGCCCTGTGAATCCGCTGCAACTAACAATCCATCCATCCATCCATCCATCATCTCTACACCTTAATCCTCACTAGGGTCACTGGAGTCTATCCCAGCTGACTCAGGGTGAAGGCAGGTTCACCTGGACAGGTAACCAGTCTATCACAGGGCTACACTTAGAGACAGACAACCAAGCACA